AGGAAGAAGGCGGGCGCCGGGGTGGCGGCTCCGGGCCGCAGGAGCGCCGGAGGGTAAGGGCGGGAGCCGGGCGCGAGCGCTTCGACGCCCCCCCTCGGAGAGCAGAGCCTGCTGTTCCGTCTGCCGCCGCCGCCGCTGCAAGCCCTTTCCAGGCCGGGAGGAACTCCGAGCTCAGTAGGTGCAAATCCGCCGTCCTGGCATCCTAACTCCAGTGGGCGAGGAACGCCTCCGCAAAGGGGTCTTCTCTGCTCCGGGCTCGAACGCCGCCACTTTAGCCAGGAGCACTTGGGGCCACCGCCGCGGCCGCCGCCTTGGAGCGCGCAGGCTGGAAAGCGCTGGCGGGGAGACGTAGCCCGAGACCGGGGAGCTCTGCGGCTTTCTTCCTTCCCCTCGGCCCTGCTCGCCTCTCGGAACCCCGACAAATCCCCAAAATACACACACCCAACACACACACACACACACACCAAAAAAAAAAAAGTGTCCGGGACCTGCGGATACCACACACAGACAAGCGAGGGGGACGAGCACGAGGTCTGAACTGCCGCGAGAGCAGTTCCAAATAGGGACTGAAAAGTAACAAAATAATGTGGCAGCTTCGCCCGGCGCTGGCCAATGGGAGCGCAGGGCCCCCACGTGGGGCTGCCGGGCTCGGCCTGCGAATGGGCGCCGCCGGGCGCGACGTCACAATGCCCTCTTGTGTCTAAAACTATGCATGAAAAGTAGCAATCAGGCCCTACCCGCTGGTGACTTTCGCATGGGAGTGAAAAACAGCGCTCCTCAGATCAGGAATTAACCGAAAGACATATAATAAATAGATGTATATTATAGTCCTGGGCTGCTAGAGGTTTTTTTTTTCTCCTCTCCTTTTTTTTTTTTCCCACGATCTACTAGCAAATAATTATTTGTCGGGAGGAGGAAAGAAAGAAGACAGAAGAATAACAACAAAAGAAAAAAGACAAGCTGTACAATCCTCCAAACCTGTGGCTGGTAGTAACGGATCAGTTTATTTTGCAGTGGCGGTGAACGAGTCCTCGCTCTAATCTCATTAGGTCTGCAAAGCAGCCCAATTAGATGCTATAAAACAAACAGAATCACTTTGTCACTTTAATGTTTTCACTTCACAAGATTTAGGACCGATAAAATGGTGGCTCCCGAAGTTGCCTCCGACCTTTGAAAAGGTGCTCAGAACTGAGGGTGTCCCTTTCTCTACCCCTTCTCCTGCACACCCCATTCGCCCCTAGCTTTCCTTCTTTGTTCGATCGCCCTTCTTTTCCGAAAGCCAAATATAAACAGTGCCTTTGATGTGCGGCGGCTACCCGCGAGCAGTCCGGCGAGCTCTGGCTCCGCGGACCGCGCAGATGGACTGACCGGGTGGCCCGCGAACAGCAGGCTCCGCCGAGGGGGGCTGAACAGCAGACAGGTTCGGGGCTCGGGCCAGGCACAGCCCACAGATCCGAGTTCCGACCCGGTTAGGTCGGTCTGCCGGTGGCAGTGCCCCACATCGGCGGAGGCCTGGGGGTGCCTGGGTTC